ATTAACCTTTTCCAGCCTGCAATCCCGCCCCCCCCCCCCCCCCCCCAGCTCAGGCCCTCACCACCCATTGTCTGTGTCCAGGGATGATGCATAAATGTACACAGGCCATTGGTTGATCTCTTCCCACCCATTCACCCTCCCCCACCTTCGCTCTGAGGTTCCACAATCTGTTCATGCATCTGTGTCTCAGGATATATTTTTGATCATCAGTATATTTGGTTCATTAGGTGTTAAAAGTGTTCTACTTGTGATCACTTGGGTTTTCTAAAGATGCAGTCATATCATGTAAAATTTTTTTTTTCTTTTTCCAAATGTATTTGTGGACTCATTGGGAATATAGATAACAGAAATAAAAATCTGTGAACAAGTTGGGAATAGGATGCTTTTTTTTTCATGTTGTACATGACCGCCTTGTTGAGAACACAGAGTACTGTGGTTGCAGGGAGGCTCTCATTAGCAACTCATCCACATAGAGCCATAGCCTCCCTCTCCATCAGCTGCAGCTCCCAGGACAGATGCATGCACCCCTCAGCAGAGGTGGGACACTTGGTCACCCCCCCAACCCTATGTGCACTTGAGAAGAATGGATATTTCATAGGTTTAGGATAGAATATTCTAGAGATGTAAATCAGTTCCTTCTGTTCTAGAGTGTAATTTAGAATTGCTGTTTCCTTGTTGATTTTTTTTTTCTAGAAGATTTATCCAGTGATGTTAGTGGAGTATTAAAGTCCCCTACTATGATTACATTGCTGTCACTCTCTCACATGATAGCCTCCAGAATTTAATATATTTAGATATTCCTATATTAGGTGCATATATGTTTACCACACTTATATCCTGATATTTTATTGATCCCTTTAGTATTATAAAGTGGCCTTCCTTATCTCTTTTGTTGTTGTTTTTTGTTTTGTTTTGTTTTATTTATTTATTTGTTTTTTTGAGGTCTGCAATGGTATCTTTTTAATTTAAATTATTTATTGTTGGAAGTATTACATATGTTTCCTTTTCCCCCATTGACTTATTTCCAGCCACCCCCCATTGCACAAATCCCCTACTGTCAGTGTCTTTTGGTTATGATTATATGTATACATACAAGTCCTTTGGTTGATGTCTTGTGCCCCGCCCATACCCTATCCTACCCTGCCTTCTCTCTGAGGCTTGAAGTGCTGACCTTCACTTTGAGGTCTATTATTTCAGATATAAGTATTGCTACCCCAGCTTTTTTTTTTTTTTTCCATTTGCTTTGAAAATTTTGTCATTCCTTCACTTTGAGTCTGTGTGAGTCATTTGTTCTGAGGTGGGTTTCTTGTAGACAGTATATATATATGGATATATAAAACATGATAAGAAAACATGGATATATAAATGGATAAGAAAACATGACACACACACACACACACACACACACACACACACACACACACACATATATATATATATATATATATATATATATATATATATATATGAGTCATGTTTTCTTATCCATTCATCTCCCCTATGATTTTTGATTGGAGCATTTACATTTAAAGTTTTATTATATGTACTTGTTTGTTGCCATTTTTATTTTTTATGCCTGTGTTCTTTCTTCTATTTTTATTTCGTTTTTATAACAGTCCCTTTACCATTTCTTACATTATTGGCTTAGTGGTAATAAACTCCCTTAGCCTTTTTTTTTTGTCTGTGAATCTCCTGTTTTCACCTTCAATTTTGAATGATAGCCCTGCTTGATAGTATATTCTTAGATTTAATCCCTTGTTTTGTATCACTTTGTATACTTCATTCCATTCCCTTCTGGCCTGATGTGTTTCTATTGAGAAATCAGTTAATAGTCTAATGGGAGATCCCTTGTAGGTAACTTTTTGTCTCTTGCAGTCTTTAAGATTCTCTGTCTTTTATGTTTGTCAGTCAATTTAATGATGATGTGTCTTGATGTTGGTCTTTTCGGGATTATCTTGATTGAGAGTCTCTATGCTTCATGGACTTGTATGACTTTTCTCAAAGTCAGGGAAGTTTTCTGTCATTATTTCTTCAAACAAGTTTTCTATCCCTTGCTCAGCCTCTTCTCCTTCTTGCACCCCTATTATGCAGATGATGTTTCGTTTCATGTTGTCCCATAGCTCCCTTAGATGTTCTTGCTTTTTAAATTGTTTTCCAGTTGCTACTGACCAATGGGGTCATCTGGGACCCTAGAGTTTTTATTATCCTGGTTCCTAGAATAGTGGGGCAATTGACCCCTTTCCACTCCACTGATGGCTCCTTGAATGTGTTCAGACCCATAAGCTTGGTCTCTGCCTTTGTTTCCTCAGTAAAGTTCAAAGTTAAAGGTGTGGCAGGCTGTATTACCTAAGGCAGGGTTTTTTGTCCTTCACCTACACTCTGGGTGTTGGGAGAAGGTAGCTCTTCCCAGGGAAAATGGCCATTTCAGTTTGGAAGCCTAAGAACATTCCAATGCAGGACTTCTGGTTACTACTTTTCCAAGTCTCCCTGTCCTGCTTCCCTTCCCCACCTCTCCTCAGGCAACTCAAGTCCATGCCTCCTTCCCTGCCTTTGGTGTGTAGATGCAAATGAAAGCTCCTATGCTCTGTGTTTAGGGATAAAAAAGAAAAAATAAAGGGAATAAAATATGCAGCTTTATCCCCAGTGGCTCTGTTCTGCCATGTCTAGACTCTACTGCCACCATCAGTCTTGCTAGTTTTCTTAGCATCTTGGGTGATATGGTCACTGCAGGTCATGCCACTGTGGGTCCAGATGTGCTGCTCCTCAAGTTACCACTGCTGCCACAGGCTGCTGTGTATGCTCTGGGCACCCCACCCCCTCTTAATCTCACTTTTCCTACAGGTTTCTAGGTGCCTTCTGTTTTTCTTTGTTATAAGTCACCTCCTCAGCTGGAAATTCCAGGTGAATGTTTTCCTTTTTAGTTGTATTTCCAGCCTGGCCCTGAGACAAAGTGCCTGACACGTCTTCCTATTCAGCCTCCATTTTCTACTCTCCATTGATTTTCTTAATCTCATCAATATCAGCCTTTTAGTTTCCTTCATACCACTTACCACAATTTTAAAGATTTCTTCTAATGATGTTTTATCACTCTGATTCACTTTATAGATGGTTAACCTTCTGAGGTACATAAAGAAGGAAACTCTTATGGAAGTCCACCATAGTTTTCAATCTAATATAGGTTCATCTAGCTGGTATCAATTTGGATAATTTAAAGAATCACCAGTAATAAATCCATATCTCATATAAAGTGAAACACATCTCTATAATGAAGTAAACCTTAAATTCATTGATATTGTCATTTTTAAAAGAACATTCACTGTTTTTTATTTACTTCAATATATTCTTTACAACATATAGACATTTTTAAACATCTTGAAGGATCTGTAATGTGCTTTTCCCCATGTTTGAAGTATACCAGATTAGGGAATTTTCTAATTTGTTTTTGCAGTAGCGGAGATTGATTTCTAGTATCTCTGCAAACAAACATGACACTTTTAGGATAATGTAATTGAAATATTTTAAAATGAGCCCAGCCAGCATGGATCAGTGTTTGAATGTCAACCTATGAACCAGGAGGTAACAGTTTGATTTCTGGTCAGGGCACATGCCCAGGCTGGGGGCTCATTCCATAGTGTGAGGAGTGCAGGAGGCAGCCTATCGATGAATCTCTCTCATCATTGATGTTTCTATTTTTCCTTTTCCCTCTCCCTCTCCCTTCCTCTCTGAAATCAATAAAAATATTTAAAAAACAAGCAAACAAAAAAAAAAAGTTAACTTGTAAAAATAAATAAATAAATGAATCAGTATGTAAAAATAAAATGAATTTTCTGTAACTGTGTAACTCCTGCCTTTATTTTATTGGATATCATAAGTGTGCATTTTGAATGTTTATGTAAAATACCTCTAGATCATTCAGAATTTTCTTTTTCTGAAGGACAGTAAAATGGGGTTGAATATATTTAAATGTCTCAATATGTTTAACTTAAGTGAATTTAGAAAGAAATTATTATTAGCATTCCTTGGAATGAATTATGGCTAAATTTACCTTAATTTTTTATATTGTTTTGTCACGTCTTTGTTTTTCATACAAGTAAAGCTCCTTTTGGTTCATATCATTAGGTCATTTTGAGTTTTATGTTTTTTAGTTAAGGGACAAAGACTGATAGTCTAGTAGGGGTGTCAAACTCAATCAGAGAAGGGGCCAAAATCTAAAATCCAGCCTAAATCGCGGGCCGAATGGTTTACTGAACAGTCATAAACTGTCATTGTGATGGAAACGCAGCGGAGTGCAGTGATGACAGCGCAGTGCGGGCCACATTGCAAGGCCTGGCGGGACGGATTTGGCCCGCGGGCCTTGTGTTTGACACATGTGGTAGAGACTGGATATTAATTTGCTTAATGCTGTCCAACAGCAGAGTTAACTCAGGGTGCCAACTTAAAATAATAAGTATAAATGGTGGTATCAGCCCTAACCGGTTTGGCTCAGTGGAGAGAGCAGCGGCCTGCAGACTGAAGGATCCCTGGTTTGATTCCGGTCAAGGGCATGTACCTTACTTGTGGGCATATCCCCAGTGGGGGGCATGCAGGAGGAAGCTAACCAATGTTTATCTCTCATCGATGTTTCTAACTCTATCCTTCTCCCTTCCTCTCTGTAAAAAAAAATCAATAAAATTTATTAAAAAATAAATAGTGGTATCATTATTACTATATTTAAACACCCATGGTTGGCAAGAATGTGCTAAAGTCTGAATATAACATAGTAAACTATATCACTATCCCTTCCCAGAACACCTGCTATTGAAAAGACATACTAATTTGATGAAGAATATGGCAGATGTGATGGTTTGGAGCTAAATGCTACTTCATTGCTGATTCACACAGAAAGAGGTTTAGGATGTTGACTCTGTATTCTAAAGACTATCTAGCAGTTTTCATCTTGTATATTAACTTTACACATTTTTTTATTACAAGTTAATGCTTATTATTGTATCTCTTTTTAGTTTTCCTCACAGGAGGAAAAGCAAATTCGGTTCTAAAACGCTACCCAAGAGCTAATGGACTTTTTGAAGAAATAAGACAGGGAAATATTGAGCGTGAATGCAAAGAAGAATTCTGCACATTTGAAGAAGCAAGAGAAGCGTTTGAAAATAATGAAAAAACTGTAAGTATGTTGGTACTTTTAAATTTTTTTGACAGATTTGCCTACCTTTTGATACATGTTTGAAATCCGTATCCCCTTATGGTGTGCATTGCTAGCAATTAAAAGTTACCCTTGTGAAGAACTCTGAAAGTTGCATCTAACTTAAACTATTGTGTGGATAGAGGGCTAGATTCACATCCCTGTATGTTGGCCTGACTGTGCAGGTCCTGTTTCAATAGGACTCTGCTGAACTGAGATTTGTCATCTTAGCAAGGGGAAGCAAGTGTTTGTTTCATAAGAAGTTTCATTCAGGGAAAGTTATAGTTGACATCATCCCTTTACTCTGCCTAATCAGAGAGAAATTGTGGAGGAAGCTAATATATATTGACACTAATTTAAAATGCTTTACTTCTCCTACCAAAGAAAATACTTTGGTAAAAGCACAACACAGTGGTATAAATTCTATAGAACTGCTTTGAACTTCTAAATTGCATTGCCAGAGGTAGTCTTTATTACAAACATGCATTCCTTTGTACCATGAAAATAACACTTGATACTAAACAAGGGATGTCAGATGTGTTAGAGGGACATCAAATTTTATTACAGAAGTAAAATTTTATTGAAGTTTTAAGGATAGAGGATTTTATCTTGATAGATAGAGAGGAAATCAGGAGTAAAATCTCAAGGTCTAATAGCTCAAGGTTGTTCCTAAGCATTGTTCTATTACTGAGTCTTTAAACGTTATCTATTTATCATCTATCTATCATCTATTTATCTATCATCTATCTATCTATCTATCTATCTATCTATCTATCTATCTATCTATCATCTATCTATCTATATAAAAGACTAAGCAACCAAACAACCAAATGACCTGACCAACTAGAATGAGCAGTTGCTATGATGCACAGTGACCACCAGAGGGAAGACGTTCAGTACAGGAGCTGCCCCCTGGTGGTCAGTGCACTCCCTCAGTGGGAGCACCACTTAGCTTACCCACACGCCCTGGTGGCACATCAGTCAGGTGGCAGCCACTCCCTCCCTCAGTAGTCCTGCAGGTCCAATCTTTAGAGAATGGGCCAGGCACTGATGGACCTGCACCACCAGCATGATTCTGACACTACTGCTGGCCTCCTGAAGTTGGCCTCAGGCACTGTGGCCTCTTCACCTCCCTAGATGCTCCACAAGGAAGAAACAATATAAAAGCAGCTGCCAGGTGTCTCCTGAAAACCAGCATGAGTGTCATAATCCAAGGCCGTATTTTTGTTGTTGTTTTTGTTTAAATTATTACACATAGTAGTACATATATCCCCCCATTTTCCCTCAGCCTCCCCTACCCACTGTCATATGCCCTCATCCTCCAACCCCCGCAGTATCTTGTGTCCATTGGTTGTGCATACATGCATATACATGCACATAAGTCCTTCGGTTAATCTCTTCCCCCCACCCTTCCCCAACACTCTCCAGCCTTCCTGCTGTAATTTGACAGTATGTTCAATGCTTTGCTGCCTCTGTATCTATATTTTGTTGTTGTTGTTCATCAGGTTATAATGTTGTTTATTTTCCATAAATGAGTAATATCATGTGGTATTTTTCTTTAATTGCCTGGTTATTTTCACTTAGCATAATGCTCTCCAGTTCCATCCATGCTGCTGCAAATGGTAAGGATTCCTTCATTTTTATAGCAGTGTAGTATTGCATGGTGTAGATGTACCACAGTTTTCTAATCCACTCATTGGCTGATGGGCATTTGGGCTGTTTCCAAATCTTAGCTATGATGAATTGTGCTGTTATAAAATAGGGGTGGATATATCCTTTCTAATTGGTGTTTCTAGTTTCTTTGGATATATTCCTAGAAGTGGGATCACTGGATCAAATGGGAATTCCATTTTTAGTTTTTTGAGAAAACTCAAAACTGTTCTCCACAGTGGCTGCACCAATCTGCATTCCAACCAGCAGTACACAAGGGTTCCTTTGTCTCCGCATCCTTGCCAGCATTTGCCATTTGCTGATTTGTTGATGATTGCCATTCTGACAGGTGTGAGATGATACCAAATTGTCATTTTGATTGGTATTGCTCAGATAATTAGTGACTTTGAGCATGTTTGCATGTCTCTTGGCCTTCCTTCTGTCTTCTTTCGAAAAGTATCTATTTGGGTCCATTGCCCATTTGTTTTATTGGATCATTTATCTTTTATTAGGTTATATGAGTCTTGTGTAAATGTTGGAGAAGAAAATATGTTCTCCCATACAATGGTCTTTCTTGTTGTTTTGTTGATGGTTTCTTTTGCTGTGCAAAAACTTTTTATTTTGATGTAGTCCCATTTGTTTATTTTCTCTTTAGCTTCCATTGCCCTAGGAGCGGTATTGGTGAAGACATTTATTTGGCATATGTCTGAGATTTCTTGGCCTGTGGGTGCCTCTAGTATTTTTATGGTTTCCCATCTTATGTTTAAGTCCGTTATCCATTTTGAGTTTATTTTTGTGTATGGTGTACGTTGCTGGTCTAGTTTCATTTTTTTTTTGCATGTATCTGTCCAATTTTCCCAACATATATTAAAGAAATTGTCTTGACTCCATTGTATATTCATGCCTCCTTTGTCAAATATTAATTTAGCATAGTAGTTTGGCTTGATTTCTGGGTTTTCTATTCTATGCCATTGGTTTATATGTCTGTTCTTGTGCCAGTACCAGGCTGTTTTAAGAACAGTGGCTTTGAAATACAGCTTGATATCTGGTATTGAGATCTCTCTTAATTTCATCTTCTTTGTCAGGATTGTTGTGGCTATTTGGGGACTTTTTATTCCAGGTGAATTTTTGGAGAGTTCTTCCTAGGTCTGTGAATTATACCATTGGTATTTTAATGGGGAATGCATTGAATATATAGATTGCTTTGGGCAATATGGCATTTTAATGATGTTTATTCTACCAATCCATGAACATGGTATGTTCTTCCATCTGTTTACATCTTCCTCTATTTCTTTTTTCAGTGTCCTGTAGTTTTCCACATATAGGTCTTTTACCTCCTTAGTTAAGTTTATTCCTAGATATCTTAATTTTTTTTGGTGTGATGGTAAATGGGATTGCTTTTTTAGTCTCTGTAAATTCACTATTTGTGTACAGAAATGCTGTAGATTTATTGATGTTAATTTTGTATCCTGCTACATTGTCAAATTGATTTATTAAGTCTAATAGTTTTTGGTAGAATCTTTAAGGTATTCCAGAATTTGTCACTATTCAGTGGGTGCTAGTGTTGTAGATTCTCAGTGTTTTCAGGCTTCTAATAACATCCACTTTCCCCTTCAAGATGTAACTGTCTCCACATCAGAGCTAGTTGCTCCGGGAGGGATCCCAGCAGCAGTGGAGGCTGCCTCATCTGGCTATCCCTCACAGTCCCCTGGAGTTATAGCTCTCACTTAACTCAGAAACAAACATTCCCCTGCAACTACACACTTTTTTCCTTCTCTCATTCACACACTATTTTGTAGTCTGCCTTTGCATTGGCAGTCATCTTTCTCTAATTGAATTATAATTGACACTAGGGACCCAATGCACAAAATTCCCTCAGCCTGGCCTGTGCCCTCTCCCAATCTGGGACTCTGAGGGGGCCTAAAACAGCAGTCAGACATCCCTTTCACAGTCTGGGACCCCTTGCTCCTAACCACCTGCCTGCTTGCTCCTAACCACCTGCCTGTTCACTCCTTACTGCCTGCCTGCTCTCTCTTAACCACCTGCCTGCCTGCTCCTTACTGCTTGGCTTGCCATTCCTAACCACCCACTTGTTCACTCCTTACTGCCCTCCTGCTTGCTCCTTACCACTCACCTGCTTGCTCCTTACTGCTTGGCTCACAGCTCCTTAGCACTGCCATGAGAGCAGGAAAGGCTTTCAGCACTGCTGCTGTGCTCGCCAGCCATGAGCCCAGCTTAAATGAGTGGCACTTCCACTGTGGGATCTTACTGACCACCAGGGGACAGCTTGTGCGTTGAGCTTCTGCCTCCTGGTGGTCAATGAAAGTCATAACAACCAGTCATTCTGGTTGTCCAGTTGTTCCGCTGTAAGGTTGCTGGGCTTTTATATTTATAGATACCATTAACCATACATATTTTATCAATTTGATAAATATACACATATATATACTAGAGGCCCAATGCACGGAATCTGTGCAAGGGCCTCAGCCTTCACTTCTGTGGTGGCCTTGGTTTCATCTGGATGGTTGTCCAGACGGTTGTTCTGCTGTTCAGTCTAATTAGCATATTAGCTCTTTATTATATTGGATATATATAAAACCATCACCACAATCAAGATAGTAAACAAATTTATCATCCCCAAAAGTACCTTCTTGCTCCATATAATTCCTTTTTTCATTTATATTTTCTAGAATTTTCTATAAATGAAGTCATACATTATGTACTCTTTTTTGTATGACTCCTTTCACTCAGCATAGCTATGCTCAGATGCATACATACTACATGTACCAATAGTTCATTTGTTTTTTAGACATTGGGATTGTTTCCAGTTTATAGTTATTACAAATAAAGCTACTATGAATACTTATATACAAAACCATTGATTTTTAATTAAATAAAGATGTATTTATTTTTACTTGAGTTTTAAGAAATCTAAAGGTCTAAGTTATACTTTCAAGGATGCATTATGTGTTGTTAAACCTTTTATTTAGAGATTATTATAGATCCATAGAAAATCAGAGAGTCTCCTTGTAACCTTTACCCAGTTCTCCCCAATAGCTTCCATCTTACATAATTATAGTACAACTAGAGGCCCAGCACACGACAGTTGTGCATTGGGGTGGAGGGTTCCTAAACCCAGCCTGTGCCCTCTTACAGTCCGGGACTCCTCAGAGGATGTCCTACTGCCACGGGAGCAGGAGAGGCTCCCACCACAGCTGCTGCATTTGCCAGCTGTAAGCCTGGATTCTGGTTGAGGGGTGCTTCCCCTGTGGGAGCACACTGACCACCAAGGGACAGCTCCTGCTTTGAGTGTCTGACTCCCGATGGTCAGT